ATCTATTATAGCCAGATTTATCACATACACCGTTTACATTAGCCACCCAGGATCATTACTAAAAAAAAAAAAAATATTAGCTAAGAATGCGTCGAGTAGTGAAATACAAATAATTACCTCATAGATAGAAATAATGGTTTGGATGGCTTCTCTGCCCTTTATTATCAATAAACTCGTTGTGCGTTGAACAGTTTCTGTCACTACAAGTACATTCACGTTGGCTCATTGTTAATCGAAGAAAATAAGATGTGTAGGCATTGAAGTTCTGTGGCAAGGAGTGGTAATTATTTAAATATGAAAATTATTGCAAGAATCATTATTTTTAAATATAATTTAAATAAATGCCAAAAGAAACTTGTCTAAACTGGTACGTCACTTAGGCCCTCCAACATGGCACCTGAAAGGGTAATGTGTTGTCACGTGAAAGCATCTTGTTGTCATGGGAAATCGTGTGTTTAGTGAAAGCGTAATTGTTTTCATGGAAGTGCCAAGACCACATCTGTATGGCCTTGCTCATTGGGATCTGCAGAGACCTCTAAGGGAATGTATTATATTAATATTTTTTTATTTATTATAAATATTAATTTAGTATTACATATTTAGTATATAGCTGCAGCTTGTTGATAAGATCTTAATCAATACCAGGGACCTAGGTTCAAATCTTGTGACAAACCTAAGGCTTAAAAGACTTGGTATGGAGTAGGCCGACATCATGTGTATATGTTTGTCTTGCGTAAGGGATTGTCACTTATTAAATCAGACAGTGATTAAGCTTGCTATTGGCAATACTTGTCCGAAGTCTCTAAAATGAATAAAATAAATGTATTATTTTAGTACTGCTCTTTTAATAATTGTGATCATAACTGATATAGACAAGTCAGTAGCACGGCGCCATATGGTATAGACAAAGTTGGATTGAAGAAACAGAATTATGTGTATGTTGCAAAAACCTATTTATTTTTCTTAATTTTTCAATGTTATACATGTTATAAATCGTATTAAACATCATGTTCCTATATATTTGAGCACTGTATTATTATCTATTTGATACATTATTTGTGTTTCCAGTGCTTAAAGCAGCAAACTTGATTCGAATATTATTTCCTGATTTACCAGCTATTATGTAGATTTAAAAATAAAGTTCGCTCCATTATGTGTGAGCTCTCAATTTGTATAAAGAGAGAGAGACTAGTGGTCTTAGATCCGTAATATTACGGGCCTCTGCGGTCTATGACGCTCGCCGAGATAGCGGGAGATTGCGTGTTCGATCCCCTCCAGAGACCTCTTTTCATACAATAATGAATCGTTGATACGATTTATAACATCGTGTTACCGTCTATATATTTGAGAACTGTATTATTATCTATTTGATTTATATATATATATATATATATATATATATAAATATATATATAATAATACTACATTTGGTTTATGTGTAACTGGAATATTTCCACCACTCGTTGCCTTAATCAGCTAATTTAAAGATAAAATCAGTTTCATTATTAATAATTTGGGTGGGACTACACAAAATAATCAAAAGGAAAGTACATAATATAAGCCAAGATGAGATGTACAAGTTCACCACTGGCAACAATTAAAAGTTTATAATGTATCATGTTAAAAGTCCTTATGTTAAATTCTGTAGCCATAGGCCCTATTTAAAAAAAGGGTTAGAAATTGTCAAAACCTAAGCAGAAATAACTTAAAGATCATCGGAGAAACCGTTAAACTAATAACCAGATGTTGTTCTTTGACAGCCTTTGACATTTGGTTGAATAATCGCTAGAAACGGCGGAGGAACATTTTTGAAATTGGGTGGGGGGTGGGCCCATTTCATAAGATATTAAATCCAGTATGCGAGCGAAGCGAGCATTTAGGCTGGGGGCCAGGGGTCTGCCAATGGCCCCGGAAGCTACGGATTTTTGAAGAAGTTTGGTGAATTGTAGTAGGCCTAATTATTTTATAAGAATCAAGCTACTGTAATATGACTTCATAATTGTTGTATTTTCCGAACAAAGTCGAAGGCAAGATTGCTTCCACGATCACAATGAATTATTCATTATATTAGGGATATACTTGGTATGGTATTTCCCGACAAAATATTCTCTTTTCCACCGACGTCTATATCAGGAGCCTTGAAATGGTACTTCAATAGTGACGGGTCCAGAATGTCGAAATAGAGGGGGGGGGGCAGGGAGGAACTTGCACAGATAGCGTGTCCACCTGCCTCAGCCCCACCATGGCTGAGGCTGAGGTAAGAAAATATTATGCTTATGGCACTTCTAGATGACCGGAAATGGCATTAAATTTGAATATAATTTTCTGTTTTCTCCATCTTTTTAAATAATTTTGAAAACATTAGGAGGGTGGGGGCCCGTGCCGGCTGGGCTTCGGTCACTGTTAAATATAACATTTGACTTAGCCTATCATTTTGTTTCACAAATGACTAATTCGTAATGTCAAGCGAAAAGGATTTCACTACAGTTTTTACAGAGAACCTTATTTTAATAAATGGCCTAATTAAGTATCTTATTGTTTTTGTTTAGTTTGATGGAATTTAAATGTGGTTATAATACGTTAGTCTGATGGTTACTGCAAGCCAATCAGTTATACTTAGGCCTACATCTTCATCGTTAAACATAAACAGAACTAGACCGTTACACCCTAAATAGTGCCTACCCCTGCACTGTGCCTCAATACATAATAATAATAATAATAATAATAATAATAATAATAATAATAATAATAATAATAATAATAATAATAATAATAATAATAATAATAATAATAATAAATAATAATAAATAAAAATAATAATAATAATAATAATAAATAATAATAAATAATAATAATAATAATAATAATAATAATAATAATAATAATAATAATAATATATAATATATAAATAATAAATAATAATTATAATTATAATAGTAACATTGTATAGCGTTCGTTTGTCACTGGTGCCCCTGTTCCCTTGCTTCCGTTGAATCTATCAATTGTAGAGTTGAAAAAATACAATTTTTTTGTCCTGCACTAAGAAATCTCAAGGAAATAACCGTTCGCCTAAGAGTTATAGGAAGTGTGTATGCTATTTGACAGCAAAAACGTTATACACTACATCTAGGCCTATATATAATTAGTAAATGATCCGATGGTTCAACAGGCAAAATATTTCAGATGGAAAAAAACGTTAAAATAATAGGACAAATGGTTAGCATACTGTATGAAAGTCATGTTCTAGTAAGTGAACGCTGAAAATATTCAACTTGAATAATATTGTTGCTCGGTAAAAGAAGCCAAAACTGGCCGCCGTAATTAAGTACAAGTCTAAGATATATAGATGAGCAATTACTTTAAAATACAAAAAATCCTAAACCCTCTAATGCGTATAATTTTGACTGAGACACTTGTATAGAAACTATTTCAGTGTGTACCTACACCACTTAAAGTCTCTGAAAATGACAACAGCGAGTACTTGATACAAATTGTTTCCATGGGGTTGATTAATGTTTCCATAGGGTTCAATCAATGAACATCATAAATGGTTCTAGTGGCGCTGAGAATTTACCAATTCGGATTTATACGCGTATAATTATCTCTACCCAATTGGAAAATAGCATAATTTTGTAGAATTTTGACATCTCTTGCTACTTTGATGACTGTGGAGGCAACGGTGCTATCCAAAATGTACTTGCGAGTTAACTTATGGTAAGGCAGAACATATACTTAAAAGGTGATGCAAGCACATATTTCAGGGGAAACCCAAAGGATATCATGAAATATCTGGTCGAAATCTGCGGCCGTGCAGTAGTAGAATATTTACTAGATTTGGCATCGGTTGGGAATTGGATCGTTGATAAAAGCCAAATCAAACATTTCTTTAGCTACAGCGATGAAAGTTAATAAAGTAATTGGATTTATTATAGTGTGAACACTAAGGATAAACTCGAAAATTCGAAGACTTAATTCGAATTCCTTCCGGGGATTAGGCAGTGCATCAGGAGACAATCTTTTACTATTACCCGGATTAAGTTCGTTTGATTAATTATATTGTCTGAAATATATATTTCATTATTATGTGCAAAGAAATCGCATTTTGACAATTAAAATATGCCTAGATCGCGAGACAGATTTACTTAGTCTTGATGCTTGAAACTATAGGTTAAACGTAATCAATTATGTGAAACGTAGTTTCGGTCTATTTTTCCAAACATAGTACACGCAACGGTCCAATAAAGATTATGCTATATACCGTATCATAGTTTTATTAATTTTTACAACTGCCTGAAGAATGATCTATTATCTTTAGTGGGCTAAGCACGGCCATGGGCCTATCTGAAATGAAGCTATACATAATTTCTAAGCTTGGTGGTGACATTTCAAACATGGTAAAGTATTCCACTCTTTCGCCAAAGCGGCGCTCAATTCGTGTTTATTTTTGCCAAAGCGTGACGCAACATTAAGGACAGAATGGCCAAGATCAATTTCAAAGAATATAAAGATATTGTAACGAGTAATACCAACCTGAAACAATCTAGGGAACTGCACTGTGTGTAAGTGAACTATATTTATGAACTTTAAGAATGTCATTTGAAAAGAGAAGCTGAAGCGTTTGAAAATTGATGAAAATAAATTATGCTGAAAAAAAATATATAACTAAAGAGGTGTTATAAGTGGTAAAAGAAGAATGACAGATCGGATTCTAACCCAACAAAACCTGTACAGACAGTAGAAGGTTCCGGGTTCAAATCGAATCACTCGCAGATTCTTCTTCTTCTTTAATTTCAATAAAATATTGCCAACTGCATTTATTCATATAATTATATATATATGTATATATATATATATATATATATATATATATAGGCATAGGCTATATAGTGTGTAGTTGTGCGCTATAGGCATATGTATGTATGCAATGCCCCAATATATATATATATATATATATATATATATATATACACATACATACATATATATATATACAAACTTACCATATGAACACGTTATCCAAGTGCGGCTTAAGACGTACATCAGCGGAATTTATTTAGACTTTTCCCGGAAAAATGTCGATATAGGCCTAGGCCCCTATGTCAGTTAGACAAAGAAAACACTGCAGTGAATAATTATTACGCTATCAAACAAAACAGAAATTGTAGAGCCCTACAGTCCAATGGTGTTCCGGAAACATATTCTTGACATACAAATCACTAGACTCAGATATAATTATTTGTATCGCCTCGCTGTGCGTCAACCGATCAAAAAGTCATCAGCTTCGGTTTTCATACGCTTATATATACACATTCTCCTGTACTCTGATTGGCTGCCTGTCTTATAGACGAGTTCACACTGATGAGTCGGTCGGATTGTTACATAGGGCCACAGTAAGTACATAGATGGCTTATCATTACTATCCTTGCATGTGTAAACCTGGTGATACGAAACGATACATCTAAAAAAATAAGCTCTATACCGTTTTGCGGTAACTTTATACATACGCCAGTCCGCATATTATGCCTAATTGTATGAGTGGCGAACTAGCTGTGTGTAGTGATGCCAACAGGCATCCGTGGTCTAGCGCTTTGATTCTCGCCGTGACAGTAGGAGGTCGCAGGTTCGATTATCGACAGAACTTTTTTATTCAACTGATAAGAAGCTTTCCGGTTGGGAGATGTCACCCTTGCAGATTTCTTACCAACAGTAATCTGCTAGGGTGAAAAAGGTTGCCCC